TTATTTATTCAAAATAAAGATATGTATGTTATCTATAATACAGTGATGGACAGCATGCCAATCGTTTAATAGGAGAAACTTTTAACATATAAGCGTTAAATTACAAATAAATGTCGCTAAATCGACAAGCGCTTTTGTCAATAATTATGATATAAAGATAATAAAGATATGTATATATTATCAACAAACCCAAAATTGCCTATGCAAATAGATTTCAGCTAAGTGCAGTTGTCATAGTTATGGGCAATGTCTAAAAACACTTAATTTCATATATTTCAGGCAAACCTAAATTGACAAATATATTCCAGATAAATTCAAAAATAGCCCAATAAACATAACTTTTAGATTAAAACATGTTAAAAGTGATTGTTCTTATACATTTTATGATCTATGAAGAAAATGTAATCAAGAAAAGTTAGACATGTCAACACTGGACCACAAAATTCTGGACTTTACACATTTATTAAAATTTCTAATATTCTTAGAAAATAATTACTAAACTTGAATGTTTTTTAAAATATTACTGTCAAAATACAAGGACAGGGAATAAATTCTTGTATAGCAGAGATAGCCATATGGGTTTGCAAAGGGTTGAGTTTTCCACACTAATGCTCTTCTGCCACTCACTACTGCCCCACAAGTTTAAAGTAAACAGCATAAAAAAATAGTCACAAGTATTGAATACAATCGTACCCAGCAAAAATAATTAGTCACAAGTAGTTTTTTTACAGACTGAAACAGAACACTGGAACATCAGACTCTAGGCTACATGAATAGGTAAATATAAAGAATAAAACTTATAAATATAATTTTAGTACAGTAAATCTCTTTCAAACATCAACTAATAAAAAAGTTTAACTGAATATAATGGCAATTTTTTATTAAGATTAAGAATTTAGTACTGTTCACAGTTATGTCACTTTATATTAAATGTTTTTAAATTTTAATAAAAATAACTATTAGTTAAAAAAATATTTTTTTCAGTTTTCAAATGAAAAATTATTACAAAGTCATCTTTTGAAATATTTCAAATTATTTGATTCAAAAACTCGAAGTACAAATATTGTGAAAACAAACTGTCAAATTCACAAGTTTTTCTATACGCCTTTTGGAAATTTTTTAATTATAAAATTATCTTTTAGCACAAATTCATTTACTTATAATATTAAATAATAAATAGCATATCAATACAACTTTTCTGAAGTATCACATAGCTTCAAAGTGATTCAAATATCTTGATGTGCTATAAACAAAGACTATAAATCTGAAACTGAAGGGAGAGTAACATTAATTCAGAACATAAATTTATGATAAAATTTTATTTTCAAATCAAAACAATATAAACTGTATCGACACTCCCATTCATTTCAATCAACAATTATTAAAAATCAATATAAAATTAGTAATATCAACAATCATCTATTCATTCATTTACTTCAAAATTATGTTTTCTCCTGTGTACTGTATAGTGATGTGCCGGATATCCGAGGGAAAAAAAGATCCGTATCCGTTACTTTTTAGCGGATCTTTAACGGATCTTTTATCTTAATGAATTTCATTACTTATATGAAATTTTAAAGATAGGTAGCAATAGCACATTCGTCATTTACTATCGTAAAATATTTCCATATTACACTACTAAATTTTTTTGTCGGCATTGTTTTTATTTTAATTTAACTCAACACTCTCCAAAAACACAAACGTAATCTACGCTATCCCGTGTCACACTAGCCACAAACCAGTGTTTCCCAATGTGGGGCCCACGCCCCACAGGGGGCAATTGGATTGCTAAGGAGGGCAATTCGAAAATGGACTTGTCCAGAGTTTAAGTTAACCATATAGCCGCTGTATATGTTAGGGAGACATAAGAATTTTAGAAAGGCTTAGGTGGGGCATAGCACAAAAAAGGTTGGGAAACACTGCACTAGACTATTGTGGCGGTACGCTATATTTTTGTAAATATTAATTTTAGTTTAGTTTCGTTTCTACCCTTTGTTCTATTGTTCTATTTTCTTCTAGAAGTTTCTTATCTATTCCCTGTCCCTTGGGTGGGATGAGCAATTCCTAGAAATTTGAGGAGCAAAGGTGTAAACAGGAGCCGGAGAAAAAAGAGAAGTGACGTAGCAGATCATTCATAAACTGGATGGCAGAGTGTACGGACGAGGTGAGAATACTGGGAGTTGTATTTTCAATGACCGGATAGATCAGAAACAAGTTCAGAAAAAAGATCCTGTTTTAAGGTCGTATTGACGACTGTGGAAGGAAAAATCCTAATTATTGAAGAAGAGAACTGGCCAGTTATAGGAGAAGGACGTGTGTTATCCCACCCAACAGTATGCATAAAGAAACAAGCCAAAAAAAGGGACAAAACCCCAGATATCCCTATTTCTATCTTATCAACCATTTTTTCTGTCTTCTTAATTCTATCCCTTTTTCTGTTATTAGTGTTAAGTTAGTGTTTAAGGTTCCGGGTTATATTGTCGTAATCGTGATCTGTATTGTACACATGCTTTGGATACAGGGAACTATTATTATCGCTGTAATTTTGCATGCTACTGTTTGTACCGTGAAGTTGGAATCCCCCGAAATAGAATCTGTACAAAGACGCAAAATAGCTTAATTGGAAAATTATATCAACTTTTGTTACTTTATCCTGTCTGCCTTTGTGATGAATTCTAATTTAGCACACTTTTACACCATAAACAAAAACACGCACAGTGCAAGTCGAAGGTCCAAGGTCACGCGCACCGGCGCCAACTGAGTACGAAAGTTAAGATCCGTATCCGCGGATCTACACACTAATGATCCGTATCCGTGGATATACATTTTTAACGATCCGGCACATCACTAGTACTATGTTTTCTCCTGTGTAATTCTACTATTATAAACATACTATTTTATAAACACACACTGGTCAAAACAATTAGGGCAGTGATTTTCAACCAGAGTGGTCTGAGATGATAGGTGCACTGCAAAAATTTTTGAAGGTTATTAAATAAATTATTTTAAAAACAAGCCCAAAGAACAATAAATGAACATGTCAAAATTAAACGTCTTTAAATTGATTATACAAGTTTTTCATTGTTATAATAACGTAAAAAATATATAGACTATTCATAAGCAAAACTATATGTGCACCAAGTTATTTCATTTAAAATAAAAATTTTTTTAAAATCAAAAATGTATCTATAATTGTGCATATTTTGTTCAAATTATTTTAATTTTAGAAATAGTGGGACTTTGGGCAGGTTTCTAAACGCAATTATTATGCCACTTTTAAATGCAAATTAAGACTTAATATTTATTGCTTTTCTTATAGAAATGAAAATTATTAATTAATTTAAATAACTATTGTTGTAACCTGCTACTATTTTAAGGAATAACAATACTGTTTTATTTAATTCACAAAAAATATAAACAAAAAGAATTAGGTTAAGTGGCAAGTAATATGGCAATAGAATGTTTACAACTTTTAATCACAATTTTTTTTCCACCTAAATTTAATTATAGGTTCAAGTGTGGCATGAGATAAAGATTGAAAAACACTGAATTACAGTATCTTGTGTTATTTTAAGGAAACATATATGTGACTAACAATATAAAAGGCATGAGGTAATATTTAATATAAAATAATCTTGTTATGATAAACAAATCAACAACAGTAATATTCAAGTTTAGTATTTAATGCACATGTTATGGAATGTAATACAAGAAAGTACAAGTTTATATAATAACATAGATGTTTATGGTGATAGAGTTTTAGTAAGATGTTTGATCTCCTAAAACAGCTAAAACTGCAGCACACCTGTTTGGCATTGACTCAATTAAGCTGTCAACAAGGTATTGGGGGCAATGTTACCACTATGCATAAAGTGCTGTCTTCAGTTCATGAAGTCAAAGTAGTTACTGGCCTTGCTGTAACTTGTCTGTCACAGGCTTCTTAGACATACTCAACAGGATTGAAGTCTGGGAAGCATGTCATCCACTACATGAGCTTGATGAGGACCATTATCATCCATCAGCAGGAACAACTCACCAATAGCTACATCATATGACAATATCTAGTCAGAGAATCTTGTCTCTGTACCTAAGGCCTATCAGAGTACTGTTCCTAAGGCCTATCAGAGTATGCCCACCAATGCTTATACCATCCCAAACAATCAGGTTGTTGTTAAACTAAGCACTGCTAAACAATGTCATCAAGAGCATTGCTCAACTCATTTTCCTGAAACACTGCATGCAGCGATCTCACCGGTTTGAGGTTTGAGTGCTCATTTCAGTTGCTTTTCTTGCTGCAACAAGAAGGCTTACTCCACAATGGAGATGTGCAAAGTGGAATTCTTTTATGATGTATTGTTTTGATCACCATGAATTGATATTTCATATGGACATGTATCTTTCCAAATATGCTATCATATCATCGATGTTCATTAATCCTCTGTTTTGATCAGTATAATTCAAATTAGCCATATACTTATTAAGTATCATTTCATGTTTTCTATGAAAGTGGAAAACTTTTAATTGCAAAATTACATCAAAATTTTTATAAAAATGTTTTATTTATTTATTTCAGGATTATTTAATTCTGTCAAATTTATTTAAAAAAGAAAAAAAGAAATTTAAACGCAGAGATCTGAAAATACGACGACGAATAGCAATGCGAGCTCGCCATTTTATTTTATTTTTTTTTTCTTTTTACCGGTCGATTTGTTTTCGTTTTCATATACAAACTTTATTACTTAAAAGTGTTTTATTTAACCGGAAACCTACAAATATACTTAAAAAACCTACTTTTACACTTAAAATTTATTAAATTTCGACGTAAAATAAGCTACTTCTGAACTGAGAACAAAGAGAAAATGTGCAAAAGACGCCATTTTGTCTAAAAACAATCAAATACTAAACTCACGTAAATTACGTATAAAACGCAAATCAATTTGATTGGAAAATTTCATATTTTATAAAATTTTTTCATAAATAAAAAATTTCACATTACTAACCCATATTGCGTTTGTCCTGTAGTAAATCCAAAATAATTATTGGCCGCCATCCTGTTTTACACAACGAATCCAATAAACTCGAACAAGAAGAATGACGTCACAAATCCATGTAAGGAAATATTTACAAACGATGATATTAAAAACCGCCCAAAAGTAGCAAAAACTATTCCTTTTCTTCTTATGAATATAAGAGAAAACACTTTTTTTATTTAGATATTTTATTATATTGAATATTCTAAAAGAAAAAATTATATTTAATGAAAGAAATATAAAAAATACTTTAAGAATTCTAAACGACAGAATGCATTTGAAAGACATTGTTTTGCAATTATTCTTCAATTTTTAATATTCGTGTAATGATATTTATTAAATAACTGTTCGATGACAGCCTAAAATTTTATGGTATTTTTTAAAAAATATATAAACAATTAAGATTTATCTATCTCTCTCTCTCGGCGTAATTCCTCTCATGATAGGCTTTCTTTTTATTTCTTTTAAAAAATAAAAGAAACAGAAGTTTTTATAAGAAGAAGAATAATCAATTTTTATTAATTTTGGTTAATGATAACCAGGTCCGGTTTTACTTTTTTCAATTTTTATTCTTTCCACCCATGGGCACTATGAAAACCTTTATTCTGCGTTCATGATAAGTTTGGTCCACAATGGCGGTCGGGTGGCAAAGAATGGGACCCGACATATCTAAATACAGGTATAACTCGACTTACGTCGTTTCGAGTTACGTCGTTCCCGATATGTCGTTTGTCAAAAAAGTATATGGAAAAATAAAAATCAAGTTTTAAGTCATTTTATTCGGCTTTACGTCTGTCCGCCACAAATATTGAAGTCGTAATATCACTAGAAAAGCGTTTAATTAAAGCACATAAAATCATATTAAAATATATGCATTTACAAGTATGTACTGTATTTACAGTATATGCATTTGTAAATTTAAATTACTTTCTTCTGTACTATATTAAAAACTAAAATGTATCTGTTTGTAAGCTTAAAATAGATCCTTATTAACCACATATTATTAATTAATTTAAAAATGCATTAATAAATAAAATACAGAACCAGGAATAATAATTTATGGGTTAGCCTTGTGACAAGTAGCTTGGAGACAAGTAAATTCGACTTACGTCGCCTCTCCTGGAACCAATTACCGACGTAAGGCGAGGTATACCTGTAATTAAGCATTTCTGTGGTTGCTCGCCTGATTTGATCCTAGGTTCCCCAGAGTAATAGATTGACGCTTCAATTGGTCTAGATTATCTGATTTAGATTATAATATTTTTTATAATTTACATTATTGTAAAACATTAAGAGGTTATATATATACATTTAGGCTATTCCATACGGTAGAAAGAGCCATTGCATCGCATTGTGTGTCATTGAATCTCCTTGTAAGTTTACAACAGTAGCGGCGAGTAATGGCAACGAACATTTTTTCAACAAAGATGTAGAACTTTTTTTTTATTGAAATTGATAGCGTTTGAGTCAAAGAAGCCAATTAGATGCAAAGTAGCCATACTTTTAATACTATAAGCACCAGTACATCTTAGCTATAATAACAAATATTCATATCAAAATTTTGATTAGCGGCGCAATGCGACAAGCTGCCAAAGAAATACGTTATGAAACTTTTTCATAGTAACCACTAACGCAGGAAATTTGCAAATAGAATTAAGCCTTAAGAGAGTTGATAATGTATCTATCAACTGCTCATTAGTAATTAGTATACAGTCTGTAATTGAATGCATTCTAAAGGAATGTTAGAAATACAGTAGCTCCTCGTTATATCCCACTTGTCCGGAGACAGAAAAAGCGCGATATAACCGAGTACTAAAATTCTGGGCTTATACTAAACAGATTATACATGCGATGGAATCTCTATCCTCTATTTTTTCATCAGCAAGTGTTTCTAATATAAAATACGCTTAGTTTTGCAATACTGAATTTTATTCGTGGTTATCTCGGATTTTTTTTTAACTTTTTTCGCCCTGTGGGCACTAAGAGGGCCTCTTTTTGCAAGTCCATTATGGGTTAGGCCAGGCCCGCAATGGGGCTGCCGGGTGGTGAGGGATGGAGCCCGACATAACCGAACGGACTATCCCCCGAAATTACAGTGGCGTGCCGTCATTAGAAGCGGTGGAAGCGCCGCTTTCCTTGTATTTTATAAAAAATAAATACATATTAATTTTAATTATACGAAAATAATCGCACAATATTTTATTATAACCGCATTACGTATCTTATTACAAATTTCTATACTACACGTGAAAAAAAAAGATAAGATTGCTATTGTATATTCGAATATTAGTGGCGGAGTGGAATCTCTGTATTGTCAGATTCCAAAAAGCCAGATTTGCGCATGCGCTTTACAGAGCACCAACCTCACCCGGTTTAGCCGGTGGAATCCTACGACTTTGGGCCGATGCTTGGGTCGATAACTCTTCCAATTCTATCCGCCACCGGTTCCGGGCTGTTAGCCGCCCGCCCGCTAGATATTTGGCCGATTACGTGAATAACGAGTAGCTTTATAACTTAACCCAACCGATAAGAATTTACTGGTATGTTTTACGATAGTTCTGTATAATTGACAGGAGTTTAAAAAATCCATTAAAATATTTGATATTTTTATTCCGCTCTCCGATTTTATATTACTCACGGATTTCGATGTTAAACCGGTGATATTACGATTTCGTATATCCCATCTTTAAGGGGATGTAGAAAAAAACGTGTACAATTCTTGTATAATGTTAAAAAATTAACCGTTACTTCGACAGCGTCATTTACAACTAAATTTAATGAATGAGAGAGATGCACGAGGTACAGAAAAAGCTCTAGAATTTATTTTCCTTAAATTTACGATTTATGTATCCGTTTGTCATAAAAATTTGTCTTTCCACTTTTTTCCCGAGACTACAAATATTCGAGTACAAAGTAACTGGTTTCGACTTATTTCTACTTAAGAAGTAGTTAAATAATTAAGCGATTAGGGAATTGAGGACGTAAACAAAACCGCGACGAAAGAGCCGGAATATTACTTAAACAAAAGCTTAACCGAACCAATCTATAGCCGAGTACAGTGGGAACTGATTTCTTCGAAATACTGTATTAGATGTAATAAAGACAGAAATTTTTCCAGTTCAACGAGTGACCGGAAAGTTGTAAATTTTGGAAATTTCCGTGGACAACACCTTTCTGGGCTTAAAACGAATTAGTTAGAAAACAAATGACTAAGTTTAACATATTTAGATTTTTACAGCTAGAATTTTCCTTCTTTCCGATTTCTGTTTCCTTTTTCTCGGACTTTCGAGAACTCGCCTCACCCCTAACCCATCAGGGGGTAGCGTTAAGACAAAACGAGGCTGGAGGGGAAAAGGAAGAGTTTCTAGAAGCATCGGACTCGGAGAAAGACAGACGAGTGGCAGCAGGCTCTTGAACGGAAAGTCGAGGAGCGCAGCAGAAGGAGGCCGTAAGAAGCGGATCGGTAGAAGAATCCGGTCGACGATTATAGAGAAAAAAACCCCAAAACGGACCCGAGTTGTTCTAAGAGGACAACAGACGAGAAAGAGAAGCCGAGACGAGGAACGGTGGAGAACCAAGTGGAAAATTGGGTACCCTTCTGTCCTTTAATTCTTCTCATTTCCCCTTCTATATTTTCTATTTTTAGTTTATTTCTATTTTTTCTATTTTTTTTTTTGCTGAGCTGTTATGGCGACGTTAGACATGGATTTTTTACAACGGAATATTAAGTGTAGAACTGAAATAAGTTGTTTAAATGTTTCATTAACTCGAATAATAATTTTTATTCTACTAATGATTGCTGGCATTGAGTTAAATCCCGGACCTTTCCCTCGATCTCCTCCAATACCAAGTCAAGCAGTTATGCAAAAAAGGGGACGAGGGAGACCACGTAGAGAGCATACAAGAAATATAGAAGAAAATACTCAGACAAGCGAAATGTCAGAAGAGGAATATTTAATTGAGGAACACTCCAAGAGTACTACTGATATCTCGAAGTATGCTACAATAAAAGACTTCTTCGAACCGGAAGAAGATTTACTAACAAAGACTATTGAACCTGAATACTCACTTAAATCGATATATGAATTAATCCAAGATAAATTTGATAGTTTGAATTCCGAAATCCGTTCCATAAAAGCTGAAATCAACAAAATGAACGAAGAAAATTTAAAGCTGAAGGAAGAGATGAAAGATATGTGTAAAAAAATACGTTTATTAGAAGAAAGAACAGACTCGTACAGCAAGTTAAAAGGTATGGTGGATTTTGAAGTTGACAAAATGATAAACGATAGAACTAAGAAGAATTTAATTATATTTAATTTTCCATTTAAAACCTCGGAATATGTAGAAGAATTTAAAAAATTTATAAAAGTTAACTTAGAGCTTAATGGTATAGAAATCGAAGGTCTTATTCAAATAGGAAATAGAAGAAATAACCAAGTAATTAAAGTTATGACCGAATCGGTTAAAGACAGAAATCTAATTCTCAATAAATTTTGGACTACAAGACCGAAAATGACGGACGAAAATAAAAAAATAATAATATCAACGGACTTATGTTATAGATCTAGAATCAGGAGAAAATTATTATTAAAAATGATTAAACTGGAGAAATCGGATGATAAGATAAAAATTAGAGATGATTATTTTTTAAAAAATAATATAATGTATACATATGATTTGAATACCAAAGAAATAATTCAGTTAAATCATTTTTTAGAGATAAATATAATACAAGATTAACAAAAATAAATCAAAATTTAAAAACAATACAGAAGAAAAGGAAAATGGCTAATAATATGGAGAATAATAATAAGAAAATGAGTGGAGATAAATTAATAGTCAAAATAAATGATTTGAATGAGAAAAAAGTAGAAACTCCAAGAAGGGTAAAAAATAAAGTGACGATAAACTTCTGGAATATTCAAGGACTGAGAGGGAAATTATTTAAAACCTCAATGAGAGAATTTCTGGATTCAAATGAAATAATTGGACTTTTAGAAACCTGGATTATAAAATTTAGTGAAATGGAAATAAAATATCTAGAACAAGACAATAATATAATAATTAGTAATGCTCAACGAAAAAATAAATTTGGACGTCCAT